AGGCGGTTTAGGCGGTGGGGTGGAGACGTCACAGCTGCGATTCGTGTCTCAGTGAAGGCTGTGCCCGCTGTCTCACATTGTTTCTGCCAACTAAAAAAGGCAGAGACGGGAGCTCGCAGCTCCCGCACAGACGGGAAAGAGGGGCAGCCACCTCCACCTCCTGCGCCTCGGGTGTCCCGAGAGGGCGAGGAAGCAGCGCTGGGGAGGGAAGGGGCCCTGCTAACACTAGGCCCGCGGCCCCGAGGTTTCTCTTCCAATGTCCCGCTCTCGCTAAAGACTTTTGCTACCTTCATCGGCCTCTGCTCCCCTCGGGGCGGTCAGGCACTGATTAAGACGCTGTTTCCCTCAAGAAAGGGCCCCGGAGAATAAAATAATAGACAAACATGAAACACAGAGACAGCCCGCCTCGCCCACACGGCAGCCCGGCCTGCCACCCCCGCCGTCGGGGAGCTGCGCAGGTCGCTCCGCCCCTCAGGGCGAGGCCAGCGGTGATCGTGACATGGGCCGGGCGGCACCAGCCGGGAGAAGAAAACAAGAGCCGGGAGGGTGAGCTGCGTCCTCGCAGGTGAAGGCGGCCCCGGCGGCGGCACTGCGCGGGAACCTGTGGGCCGGGGCCGCGGCCTCCTGGGGCGCGGTAACGAGCGCTCCCATGGGCAAGGCGCTCGCCTCGGGCCGGGATCGCCGCCAGCCTCGGGCAGCGCGGGGCGGCCGAGCGGCGGCTGCGGCGCTYYKCGGTGCGCGGCGGGCCGGGACATGGCGCGGCGGGCGGGAGGCGCGGTGGCGGATGAACTGGCCAACGCCGCCGCCCGCGGGGACCTGCAGCGCCTCAGAGAGCTGCTGGACGGCGCGGCGGACCCCAACGCTGTCAACTCCTACGGCAGGACCCCCATCCAGGTAGGGAGGTGGACTGTGGGCGGCCGGGCAAGGGCAGCGGAGCCTGTGTGCCCTGCCCGAGGGGTCGGCGGCAGYCCCGGGACAGTCCCGCTGCGCCAGCCGCCCCCCTTGACTGTGCCCGGCTGCTGTCGAGGCGGCGCGGCACAGGGGTTCTCATCTCTTTGGAAAGGAGAAACTCTGTGACGGCCGCCACAAAAAGGTTTTAGTCTTAGCAACCCTTGTCTTTATTTGAACCAGCTGAGATAGGATGACTCAAATCCGAGAACTTGAACGCTGATCTGTCAATAAACGTGCAATAAAATGTAAAAACTCACGTTTGCAGAAATAATCTCCCTTTCGTTATACCTCGTCTTCTGCTTTATATGACTTAGTATTTTTCCTCTCATCTTCTGTGAAAAAAAAAGGATATATTCGGTGACTCTCACGAACAGAAACACTCGGTCGCGATAGCCTTGGGCAGCTGAAGCTGCAGGTAGACAGCAAGCGATCCTGTGGGGCTSAGTCTGCCCACGTTTTACACTCCTGTGAATGTGTAAGTAGACGTAGCCGGTGGAGATGTAGTAGAGMTTAAATTTATAAAGGCTGAGTTAATTTCCGAGGTAGTTCTAACCAGCTTTTTCTTAAAATTTCAAAATAAAACGAAACTGTAATAATCTCAGAAGCTGTGTTTAAGCTTTATTACCAGTGCTTGCGAAACACTCTCCTACAAAATGTCGGTGCAGCATTTCACTCGAAACAGGTATTTGTTGCCGTCCTCCAGAGCTTTTTTTTTTTCTTCCAATTTGCGCGGCAAGGATTTAGCCGGTGTGCTGAACGCACTGCTGGCTGTGCTAGGGGAAAGCCAGCTTAGAAAATGGCGAGCCCGAGGGGTAGGGCTCCCGGACAATTTGGTTGTGCCCTGGACACAGGGGTCTGGCAAAAGGTGCATTTTGAGACTGCTAATGGTGAAGGAAGAGGGGGCGCGGCGCCGCGGATACGATGGGCCCCCCGCATACGCGTCTCCCCTTGCCAAGGACCCTCTGGAGAAGTGTCRTGGATACAAGGGGAACGACGGCAGTCCCCGCGATCCACTGCGCCCGCACGGTTCCGCGGGGAGCGGTGCAAAGCGACTCGGCACTTGACATGGGAGTGCGTCGGGAGGAGAGCAAGCCCCTTGCCGGTTCGTCTGATCCGAGCCCACCGCCCCCGCGCTGGCTCCTGTCGCGGAGCAGCCCCAGTGTGCATTGCACACCCCGACGGGCGTCCCGCCTCTCTGCCTTACCTGTTCCCTCCTGCACCCTGGCATGGATAGAGGAGGGTTTTCCGATGCGGCACAACGGGTACATGYTCTCCATCGTTCATGGCACGTCCGGAGCCGATTTCTAAGCCTCACCCACGGATTTTCTCCTTTCCATTGACGATCCCCGTTCCTTAGCGGCTGAGAGAGAAATCCTGAGTTCTGCTGCGGGCACTGACGCTGTCTCTCCCCGCAGGTGATGATGCTGGGCAGCACGCAGGTGGCCGAGCTGCTGCTGCGGCGCGGAGCTGACCCCAACCGGCCCGACCCGCGCACCGGCTGCCTCCCGGCGCACGACGCGGCCCGCGCCGGCTTTCTGGAGACGCTGGCGGCGCTGCACCGGGCCGGGGCGCGCCTCGACCTGCCCGACGGCCGCGGCCGCCTGCCCCTCGACGTGGCGGCGGGGGGCCCGCACGGAGCGGTGGGGCGGTACCTGCGCGACCCGCCGCCCCGTGCCTAACATCTCTCCGTGCAATCCCCTCCCTAAATTTATTGCCCGTGTCCGGCTCGGGAGACACCAAGTAGTTTCGCTGCAAATAACCCCAGGGATTGTGTTTCCCTGCCGAAACGCATGAAGGACAATATTCTTTGCTCATGCCTGTAGATTATCCTGCGCTAGAAATCCTATGGCCTTCCACAAGCCCTTTTTTTCTTACAAGAGTGCAAACACCGGGAAGTATGAAATATGAAGTACTAAGTATTAAGTATGAAATAAGGAAATACTAAATGTGAAAATATTAAATAACAAATATTGCATATTAAATATGAAGGAAAATTCTCGCACGGAGATGGTACTCCCTCGCTCTGTTTTGATGGGGCTGCTTCTGGGCTTTCTGCTCCCCAGGGCCTCCCCACTCACGCTTGCTAGTCCTCCATCTGAAGAAGATGGGAGAGGCTTCAGGATCTTCCTGTCTCAGCTGCTGCTTTTGGTTGATTTTGGTTTTGGTTAAACCGAACTGAAGGGATGCTGGAGCCAATCTGCTGCTCTCTAGCTAAACTGGCTGGCACAGCAGAMTATCAGTGCTTCCTGGTGTGATTGTGGCTTTGGCAAATACCTTCTTAAAACCATGCAGGGTGCTGTGCATGTCTGTACATGTGTTCACAACGCATCCGCGGCTGTTGTCTTAAAGGTTGCAACCTGGAAGGAGAAAATAAAGAGAGATTTGTATCTCTGCAAGCCCAATACCTTCCCCACTTGAAACACTCGTTGTTTTAACAACTTGCAGGTGACCTCCCCTGAGTTATAGTGCCTTAAAAATCATGTAGGTTGTAAAACCGAGGCAGCCATAAACGAAAAATTAAAAGTCATGCTCCTAAGCTCGACTCCAGGGCTTCCCAAGTCCTCAGAGGTGACACATGAAGTAAAGAAACAATCAAACCTTTGAAACAGCTCTGCAGCTGGTGGTGAAACGGGTCTATATATTAATTATGTGAGAGTCAATACATGCTTCAATGACCGCCCCAGCACGGGGGAGGTGGATGTGAGCACCCCAGGAAAAAGATACAGCGGCAGCCTAGCCTCTGCTCAGGGGAAGCGAATAGGGGGAGAAACGCRCTCCCACCGCAGCAAGTCCTCAAGCCCCCTGAGAGGTGTGCTGTGGGAGCGCACGGGCAGCAGCAAGTAGGGCAGTGAAGCAGGCGGTGGGCACGGTGCTACCAGCCCGTGTGGGACAAGTGAGAGACCCTGCCTCCCTCCCTGAAACCCACGCAGGGCTGTGCTCACTGTGCTCACACGTCCTGCACCTTAGGAGCTGAGAAAGGGAAGCCAGGCAAGGTAGTGACAGAGCTCRTGTCTTGTACCCCAATGCAAATCCTGGGCACTTTGCAGAGCTACCTATAGAAAATGTGAAAAATMTGTATCTTGGTTATGCATTCTTACTGAATATTGAACCCCTAGATATTTCATATGTAAACATTAAAAATAATATATATACCTTTTTTGTAATGTGTTGGAATATGTTATTTATTATAAAGTAATTTCATAAAATGCATGCTTTATAATTACTTAGTATAAACTGGCACTAATATTCTGCTAGAAAATATTTAGTTATGCCATTAATGTACATAATATATCTACATATCTACATAATATATAAAATATACATGATATACATATATAGACATATATAGACAATGTTTTGATTATGCTTCAACGTTATGATTATGCTTCAATGGGATATATTTGCTTATCAGTTATTTTTTATACGTAATATATGTATTTGTTTAAGTACAGTTATTGGTTTAATTATAACCAGATTATATGCATATAAAATATGTACCAAATATTTATGTTATATTTAGTCCATATTCACATTTACTCATGGCAAGAATGCCTAGAACATGTATTTTATATGTATCTTTATATAGAAAACATACAACATTATAACATGTGATTACACACCTTATTAAATTGTGCTGCACTCTGCCCTAGAATATGGCATAGCTGTAAGCGAACTCAGGACAACACAGTTAACTGCAGTTAACTACCTTCATCCCGTGCCTGTAGGAACTGGATTGGATCTGTGACCAGACAAAGAGACAGGGGAAAGCTAGAGCCTGACCATGCTCTTTACAGAATTACAAGGTTCTGTTAAACTGTACTTACAACTTCAACAAAACCAGTATCCTGGTTTTAAATTTTCTCCAAGAAACAGACTTGACTTAAATTTTTCAGCATGCCCATTAAGGCTTATGAAACTAYAGCCAACAGCAGCAAAATAGTAATGCTGTATTATTATTGTTTGTAAACTTGGCAGAAAAATTACAAAATTTGCTAGACTAACTGCACCAAATAGAGTATGCCCTCAAAACCCAGCAGGGAAAAATTACCTAACTGCTATAAATCTGCCTCTCGGCATAGGTCTGAAGCCCCTTGCCAGGACAGGCCCGTGGTGGGGACTACTCACTCCGTGTAAAGATGAGGATCACCGGCTTGAACTCCCACTTGGCTGCGGGAGCTTCCACAGGCACCTTTCCTTCTGGCAGCAGCACTGGCTCCAGGACTTGGAGTCCTCCTTGAAAAGAAGAATACTGACAGCAACAAACAGCAGCAGCAGCACTACAKTTTATCAAGAAAACCCTAAAAGCATTATGTTTAACGTGGCAGATGACTCGCATTTTTTATTTAATATTGCCACTGTAACTGAGTACATGTGCGAGCACACAGACGCCCTTCTGCCGCAGGGTTTGCCCCCGGTGCAAGGCGAGCTGCTCCTCGGCCCCGGATCGGCCGTGCATTCCGCATCAGTGGGTTTCTACTGCTAAATCTGTCCTTCCTCTCAGCATTGCTTCGGCACCTGCATCACACAGCCAGGTAGGCATTCATTTCTCAGAATTTTGCCTTGCCTGTCGGGGAGCAGTCGTCACGGCAGTGGAGAAGAATAGGAAAAAAAAAAAAAAAAAAAAAAAAAAAAAAAAAAAGCAAAAAAAAAAAGCTCTCGAAAGGTGCTTTCATTTCGAAATGGCCGATTTCACTCACCCAGTTTCTCAGACTTGAAATCGGAATTGGTCCAAAAGAAACCACTACAAGCTTTTTCTTATCAGCATTGTTGTTAGGGTTATTGCGTGCCGAGGCAGAAGGAGAAAACTTCTGTTGACATCGCAGTTATTACTTTTTGTCCAGCCGAGAGGAGGTGTTCGTTGCGGAGGGTGGGGGGCGGGGGGGACATGCATACGCTTATATTCACCGTCCCTCCCAGGGACTGCCGCTCTGCCTCCCCTCCCGGCGACTTTCCCAGGTCTCCCCGCAGTCTCGGAGCTGTCCCGACCCCTGGCCCAGCCGCCTGTAGCCGTGACCAGCCGAACGGCCCCGCCGGGCCCGGCGAGGGTGAAGATGCGTCAGCAGAAACGATGCTCTCCCAGGCCATCGCTCTTCCCACACGGAAGGTACCCCGCAGCCGGGTGGGGGAAGCGCAGGCAGAGGGGTTCTCAGGGTGGGGGCGGGACGCGGAGGTAGCGGTAACCCACTCCACCGCTCAGGAATTCTCTGCCCGGCGGCAGAGCTGGCTCATCACCGGCTCTCGGAGTGTCGGCAGCTCTCCGGTGGTTCCTGGGAGCCAGCCGGGGAGGGGGGCGCCGGCAGGTTGATTGGGGCTTCTGAGGGACCCTCCGCTGCTGCCTCCGCCCGCTCCAAAACCTCGTCCTTCAAAAAGGAAACAAAGCGGTCAGACACAGCAGAGCACGGCCGGGGAGAAGGCCCGGGGGCTGGGCGGGGGAACCGTTCATTACCCGTTTCGGTGACCGGCGGGGGAAAGTGAAATCTTCTNCCCCCCCCCACTCCGCTCCGCTACGCAACGGTCCCGCGTCGCGTTCAAATGGCCATGTGACAAGGAAATAGCTTCTCGCCCGGGCCAACACTGGCCCGCGCTTTTAAAGCGGCAGCGATCCGCTAGCCGGCTCCCAGGGTGCCAGCGCGTCTCTCCGGGCCGCCGCAGGCCCCCTTCCCGTCGGGGTTTTCCCGGGGCTAATGGGGTCTGAGAGCAACAGAACAGGAAGAAAAAAAACTCAAACAAGTAACACCCATCCCCAAACGGAGCTGGAAGCGGCGTATTTAGAGGAGCAGACCAGGGGGAGGGCAAGGACATGTCGTCAAGGCTTTATTTGAAAGCAGGGSAGCGCCCTGCGATTGGCCGGTCTCCACGCCCGTCTGGTGGTGGTGCTCCCCGGGACCAGACAGTGGGAGGGCAGAGGAGCCAGCGGTCTCCCCYTTCCCATCCCCCGCTGCCCGTCTTCCTTCGCCCGCTTTCGAGGGGGGAGCCATTATCATGGGCGGAGCTTAAGAGCGGGGTGTAGGGGAGGGGTGCGGAGCGGAGGGAGGTGAAGTGAAATGGGGAGTCGCAATTAGTTAAACGGAAAAGAAAAAAACAAAACAAAACAAAAAAAAAACAGAAGAAAGAAAATTCTCTCCAATGAATGGAGGGTGAGAGGGCCGATTCACCGGTGGGGCCCCGCTGGGGAGGTATTTGTAGCGTGACGCGCCCGTGGCTTCCCCGCACCCATGACCCCCCGGATAAGGTGCACCATCCACTTTCGGCGCGCCCGCAGCCGGCCCCGGGCCTGGGCGCTGGGCTGGCGCATCCTCCGCCGTGTGTTCAGGGCGCTGGGGCGGCGCTGGCAGCGGCGCTGGCCGCGGCGCCTTGCCCTGCAGCTGGTCCTGCGGCGGAGGCGCCGCGGGAGCCCCCGGCCCAGGTAGGACGCCGGCAGCGGGGCTGCTCACGGGCGGCGCGGGCGGCCCGACGGGGCGGCGGGAGCGGGAGGCGGCGGCCCAGCGCCGGTGGCAGCACCGCGGGGACCCGTCCGCGCCGCATGCTCAGATGACAACGGGAACATGCTAGATTTAGGCAGGCGGGGTGTTTCTATGCGTGGGGGTTTTAAAATGTTCTTTTGTTTGGTTCTTTTTGGGGTTTTTTTAGGCAGTAGAAAATGTTCGGTTCTTGAAAAGTTGCTGTAGCTTATTTCTRCCTTTGCTCCCATTTTCTGACAAGTTGTCTGTATAGCTTAAGGAAATATAAAACCACCAGTCCTTACCAACCTTTTCAGACAGTTCCTTGCAAACAGGGAACATAGCTCTGAGGAGAGAAAATGGCCACTGTTTTCCGAGTATGCATTACTTTCCACTCTTGTAAATGACAGTGAAATACAGTGGGCCTATTTTGCCTTCCAATGCCGTTACGAAAATATGGGAAAGAAGGGTCAGAGCGGCCGAGCAGTATCAGTAACAGTAATTAAAATACACTCGTATGAAGGACCTTGAGAGGCATCCGAGGCTGGGGCAGTTTTAGAGATTTTTTCCTTATTGGAGAATGCAAAATCGGATTGTTTTGGACCTAGGCATTGATTATCACCCCTAATAATAATAATTAGACACACAGTGAAGCTAAAGTGAGTATTAATTTTGATCAGAATTTGAGAATTRTTCTGCAAAACCCTCGTAAGAGAGTTATTAGAGCATTCCAAAACCTTCTCTAGTACAGAGACTGGAAAAGAGCAGAAGTAGAAGAGAAGTAAAAATATTTGCCCAAAAATAGCTCCAAAAATGGAGATCTTTTATTTTATACATTTATAAAGAATGTATAAAATTTAAACCTTTCAAGCCATAGGACTCAAGCTATAACTTTATCAAGGAGATAAAGTAATTCAGTAATTTCTCAGCTTCAGTCTCTATTTAAATTACTTCCAGTGTTTTTTGAATAACAAGTGTGGGACAATRCACACAGACACGCAGACACATACAAAACCTTATGCACATATTATATATATATAAATCATAAACTATAGCTAGTTTTCCTTGTTGCCTTCAAATACCTCATTTTTTGCATTTGTAGTAGGCCTCGTTACTTTCTCTTACACTAAATGGGGGAAAAAGAAACTATAAACTCTGTCTGACCTGATGTGCATGAATCTCAAAAAGAAACATAAGTATGAGGGTGCTAGTTATCTTGAAGTAAATTCTCTGTAGCAAGGACAAAACCGTCTTATGGATCTAAAATTGTAGCTATTATTTTCTCTCTCTATTTCCACATTTGCTGTAAATATTACTACTTTTAAATCCTTCCCCCTGTGCTTTTAATCAGGGAGATCGAGTTTTTCTAAAATGCCAGATAGCTCTAGACTATAAATCTGATTTTGAAGGGCCTGGGATGGAGTAAGATAGGTGTGTGTTAAATCCAAAAAACAAAATGAAACTAAAACCCCTATGAAAAACACAATATCTAGGGATATTTTTGTAACTGTCTAGGGTAGCGTATAGTGAAGTTGTGCCTGCCCCATCTCTGGAAGTGACCGAGAACAGGCTTGATGAGGCAGGGTGGTGGGGTGAGACGAAGTAATATCTCTGATGTCCCTTCTAACCCTAACCATTCTCTGTGACATATACTCTGTGAAGTATTTATTCGTTATTATTGCAGTTTGAGTTTTGTTTGGGCTTTTGTGTGTGGTTTGGTTTTGCCTTTATTTGTTCAAGGTTATTTTTCAATCATTTTCATATTCAACAGAAACCCCTTATGGCACAACTTAYGGACAATAGATTTTCGTGTTCTTACTCAATATGTGTAATCAGGATAAATACCTTCGCAAATATTCTGACGTTTTAAGCYGAAAAGAAGAACGATAATGTTAAACTATTTCTGTACATTGATATTGCTTTATTTTTAGTGCAAYTCAGAACAGCTGTAACTATTCCCCATCCTCTTAAATACAAAACAGGTTACTTCGGTGCACCCTCTCCATTGCACCTCCTACCCCTGCCTCTCTTGTGCTCTTTTTTGCCTATTTGCAAGCTAAGAAATCATAATATTATGTTCTTTATAGCTGTCTCTCTGTAGTATTTAATAACCTCTGAACTTATTAACCAAATATTCATTAGATAAAATGATGTAAATGATTTGAATTTTTTGTTGTTTTTGTTGAAAGAGTAATACTTGTTAAGACTTAAAACAGGGCATAAGATGGCTGCCTTGGTTAACTGGAAGTTACTTCTTCCGTCCTTTATGCAATCATCAAAACATCTCAGAAACATTTGCACGATTGCTGTACTATAGTATTAAAATGGATCTGTTTACAGTGTCAAAGATGTATATGGTTGAATCGTGATTCTAAAATAAGAGCAGAAATGTAGGATAGGGACACTGCTTAACCTTGTGTTTTTTTTTTAACTCCTGCAAAAATATTTTTACAGTAAAGCTGTCTTGGGGAGAATGTGGATTCTCCTCCCCCCACCCCTGAGATACAAGCACAATACAAGGTTCTTTTTCTAAACACACTAACACAGGCTGTGTTGTTATTCCCCTAACTTCAGATATGACTCTATRTTGTTATGTTTTGATTAATTCGAGGTCCTTTGTTGGTACTAGAATTGTAAAATATAAGATTTGCCTTTAGAGGGGGAAGAAATYACATTATTTCAATCATGTAACTTAAAATTCTGTGGCTTTAAAATACTCTGGTAGTTTGATACAGGATTTGGAGGGTCAGTAGTGTTGGGACATAAAAATGAGACAGTATTATTGTTTTACACCAGTAGCTTTTTTCAAAATTTGGTGGMGATGAAGGTATACACAGGCCCTCTGACTTGTAGTATCATTTTCACTTGCAAATATATTGTCATGTGAGCGTGCATTTTTTTTTAATCACAGAATTAACTGGGTTAGAAAACACCTTTGAGGTAATTGAGTCCCACCTATTTTTATCTTTATATACTCACAAAAAGACATGGATTCCATGTATATTTATACACACAGATGCATAAGATCCACAATCAATACTATTTCACAGAAAGCAAGACAAGCCAGTGATAACCTACAACCCTGCCTGCCACGCATCAGTATTGATTTGGAGTTTTAAGACACCTGACAGACATAAACAATGAGGTTTTCTCCTTGGATTTCTCTCTTTGTGGCTATCATTAATGTCAGAGAGCAYAAGAAGAACACAAGACTCTTTGCCTTTTGGGTCAGAGACTGTCTTAATTTCTTAGACTTTACAGACTTTTTAAAAAATCCAGTCTTTTAAACTTTATTTATTCAATATATTTTATCATTTATTTGTTTTTAATTGTCTGCCTATCCCGAAGGCTGCTCTGAACCATGCGTTGTAGGAAAACCACAGTGGGAATTTACCACCAGTCCCCARCAAGTGAAGGTCTCGCCTCACAAAACCCCTTCAAATGTTGGACTTTCATCTGGCAATGCCGCTTGCCCCGGGATTTCACAGGAGAGGCTCAGAAAGCCACTCAGTGAAGATATTTCAGTGAATCTCTGACTCTATTCAGGCATAAATCTGTGTTTATTTCTTCTCATCCGAGGATGTCTCTATCTTTCGGTAAATGTAGACACCAAATCACCGTGTTTATCTTGTAGCTGTCTGAAACTCTCCAGGGGTTAATGCCGAAGGGCACAAAGTTGCATCTTCACAGCAGATACTGCTTCTGCGGCGTAGTACCGGTCTTCTGCAAATAAATAAAAAAAAATAAAATAAAATAAAAAAAAAATTTAAAAAAAAATCAAAAGGCGATTAGGGAACTGACAGTGTGAGGGGCGGAGGGAAGGAGAGAAAACAACAAAAGAAAGGAAAACAAAACGCAGAAAGATACCCTTACTCCCCTTGCCTCTCACACGGGTCTGGCCGGAGCTTCCAGGAGGCGGAATAAGAACCTCACGGCGAGGGTCGTGGGTGCCGATCTCCAGCTGCCCCTCGAGTGGCGGGGTGGGGGTGGGGGGTCTCTGGGGGCGGGGGTGTTTATCACGGGCGTGCTCGGGGCCTGCAGCGGGGACACTCTTGGCGGAAAGCCAAAGGGAGGAGCCAGAGGATTGGATTTTGAGGATCTTTACAGCCTCAAGGCGAGATTCTGCCTAGCCTCCGRCTGCGCGGCTGGAGCTGCACCTTACGCTGGCGGGCTCTCGCCGCAGTTTCCCTGCTCGCGGTAGCTCCTGCAGAGCCAGGCTGAAGCGACTCTCCTCTGTCCGGTGCTATGAGGGTGGTCGCAGACCTGCTGCGGGCACGGCTCCCTTCCTCAGCCGGTCCGCCTGCTCTCGACCAGCGCAGGACGGAGGCACGGACCCCCGACCCGCAGCTCGGAGGGGTTTGGGCAGGGCAGGACCCCCTTTCAGAGCCAGAARCCAAAGCTATCCCTTGAACAAAAGCCCCTCTCTGTCCCGGGAAGGTTCGGGTCCGTGGTCCCCTCGTGTGGTAGTCCTCCCGCGTTAGGAACCCGTGTGGCGTGTCCCACCTGCTCTGCCCGAGGCAGGTGCCATGGAAGATACTTGGCCGGTGGGTCTGMGCACACCTCCCGTGCCTTCGCAACCCGCCCCAATATGGGAAGATGTTGGGGACGCAAGGCCGCCGCCCCCATCCCCTCCCCACAGWGAGAGGAAAACCCTTCGACAGCCGCCCGCGCTCGAGGGGGGATGAAACCGGGCTGCCCTCCCCAGCTGCAGTGCTCGCGGACCGGGCTGCCCGCATCCCGCGGTCCCTCGCCATCCTGCCGGTGCCCCTCGCCGCCCTGCCGGTGCCCCTGCCCTGCCGGTGCCCCTCGGCCCGGGATTCTAGCGCAGCCGCTGGCAGCCGGGGCAGAGCGGATGACACAGCGCCCGCCCCGCCGGCAGCGGCACGGGGAGGGGACGCGTGGGGGCAGGAGGGGGGTGTGAGGGGAGGGGCAGCTGCCCTCGGGGAAAGGAGGAGCTGCTCTGCAGCCACGGGCGAGACCGCAGCCAGGGGAGAAGGAAAGTCAGCGGCGTTCGTGGGGCTCAGGTCGGAGGGGGGCGATGGAAGGGCTCCCCCGGAGCGACGGCGACAGGCTGTGCAGCGCCGCCGCCCGYGGGGACCACGAAGAGGTGAGGAAGCTGCTGGACGCTGGCGTGGATCCCAACGGGACCAATTCCCTTGGGAGAACCCCGCTCCAGGTACAGAGCACAGAGTAGAGAGGGGGAACCGGATGGGCCGGGGGGGGGAGGAGGTGGTGAACTGTGCTCTGCCATGCCGGTGGGGAGGCCGTGGGTATTTCGAGTTTGGAATTAATTTTTATTGTTAAGATCGGAACTATACTCCAGCCGCAGCTTTCTGAATTCAAACGGGTCCTTTACCTTACTAAGCCCTGCCGTCCAATACAAGAAATGTATTGAAAATACAAGATGGTGTTGAGAGGAACCGCTGGCAGCAAACGAATTTTTCTAGGAGGTGTTTAAAAGGAGAAGTGGGACTGCAAAATCCGCTTCCAGATTAGTTTGGAGGATTATCTGGGCTTCGAGCCAATTTTTTAATTTTTAAATATAGCCCAAACAGGTCTTTTTTTTCCCAAGGAAATCGAAGTGGGGTCCCTTACTATTATACTCATGACTGGGAACCTAGAAACTCCACTAGTAAAATTGTGACTTGAAACTAGGTGTGTGTTAGTAGTGAATTCTTTTTTTTTTTATTTTAGTAATAGTAATTTTAATTCTCTATTCATCAGTAGTTGACAGTATTTATTGATAGGTGTGAGAAGTACCGGTATGTAGAGTTGCTTTTCAGACAGTTTGGGAGCTAAAAGTGTGTTGTATTAGTCGACATACTTAACTAGAAAGTTATTAAATGTTAATTGAATGATTAATGTACTGTGATTTAAACCGGGGTTGTGCATCTAATGAAGAAGATTTTTCGAGTTGTCATTTGAAGGTACATATTTAATGATTCATCAGCTAAGCTGAACAGCCATTTTGGTCTTTGAAAAATGAAATATTTTTCTGAAGTAAGTTATTGAGAAGGGCCCTCAGTTATTCGTTTTATTTCTTTTGTATGTTCCATATGAATTGAAATTCCATATGAAAAGTATCTCCAAATATTTATAAATAATCTGTTTCCTTTTGTTCATTTCAGGGTAAGACTGAATTCTCTTTCTCTTGTCAGCAATTTTCAAAATGGCTGACACTCGAATATGTGGACCTTGTTTTTCTTTCTGGAAAAGATTAAGAATAGGAATTTATAAACTACGACATTTTAAAGCATTTTTACATTTCTATTATAAATAAACCAAATTATTTGAAGTGCAAAAACCAAAGTCTCAAAAAAGAAAGTGATGAGAAAAACTTACTGTCTTATGATCTTCTTCACAGTGTTAAGTTGCAATTCATGAAGGTTAAAATTCCACTGAAAATGATCAGGACAGTGAGGGAAGTAAAATCCCAGGTACACATTTATTTTGGGTTTTGGTTGATTGGGATTTTTTGTTGGGTTTTGTTCAATTGTGTATGATCAAACCTTGCCAAAAGTTTCTGATATTGGCAGAAAAGCAGAATATCAATAGGAATTTGCCATTTAGGTACAAAATATCGTTCAGAACTGTCCCTCAGTTGAGTTTTGCACATTGCTCGTGCACGTTCAGCTGCTGCTCTCATGCCTCTGAGAAGGAGACAGGGCTGAGAGAGAAGAAAAAAAAAAAAAAAGAAAAAATATATTTGTTCTAAAGCCAGGAGGGGAAAAATTGTAAAAATCCACAGGGAATACCAAAAAGAATCACACCCAGCCGCATTGCCCAGCTTGCTGTGATGACCATTGATAAATTAATGCATTCCAAGTGGCAGGAACCTTAATGCAAGGTTCCTCACAGCTATCACAAAATACATGGGTGTATATATAGTATACAAATATACACACGCTGTTTATGTGTATAAACATATTTAATGTATTTTTAATATATGTGTGTCTAAATATATTTATAATACATAYACATGAACTATTTATTATATAATAAAGGACACATTACATAAACGGTCTCTATACTATGTATGTATATCTGCACACATATATAGCTGTGTCTGTATGTGTGTATAAAAGTGTGTGTTCACACACACCACAAGTGCTATTTATACCATAGTGTATATAAACGGTATAAACGTGAAGCGGAACATACACATGTAGTACTAGTCTGGAAACCACATGCATCATAGTTAATATTTTAATTTATCATATAATCATAGACTATCTCGAGTTGGAAAGGATCCGTAYGCAAACGACTGTCAGTATACGTGCAGGTCACGATTATAAGAAGCCATCAACGCAGAATTGCATCCCAAAAGAGGCACCGGTCCGGCAGCCCCGGCTGCCCCCGGGACTCTCAGCGGRCGCGGTGGGCACTGGCCCGGCGGTGCTCGGGCTGGGCGGGCACTGACGCTGTCTCTCCCCGCAGGTGATGATGCTGGGCAGCACGCAGGTGGCCGAGCTGCTGCTGCGGCGCGGAGCTGACCCCAACCGGCCCGACCCGCGCACCGGCTGCCTCCCGGCGCACGACGCGGCCCGCGCCGGCTTTCTGGAGACGCTGGCGGCGCTGCACCGGGCCGGGGCGCGCCTCGACCTGCCCGACGGCCGCGGCCGCCTGCCCCTCGACGTGGCGGCGGGGGGCCCGCACGGAGCGGTGGGGCGGTACCTGCGCGACCCGCCGCCCCTTCCCGGAGCCGGGAGCGCCGCCGAGAGGGCTGCGCGCTGACCCGCCCCTCCGCTCCCTGTCCCCCAGTCCCCTGTCGCCCATCTTCGCCGCGAGTATCCCTGCCGCCGGGTCCCCAGCGAGCCATCGCAACTGGCAGCACTCCCGTTGTCSGACTGCTGGCAAGTCTTCCTCTGTCCCGCTGCCCCCAGGGCTCCTCCCAGGCACGCTCCTGCTTGCKCGAGAAAAAACATGCTGCTCAATTTCCTGAGAAAAAGGGGGATAAAGCCAAAACACAGCCGAGGTTAGCACTCCTGCTTCTCCTTCATGCTCTCCGACAGGCAAAGCACATGCAGCAGATGGTTCTTCTGCGGTCTACGGGGAAAAGAAACCATTAAAAAACAAGTTTGCCTTTCTCCCTCTCCTCTTTTCTTTTTTCCTTTTATTTTGTTGTCGGTTTATTTTGTTTTGTTTTGTTACAGTAAAGCTGCTTAGAGAAGTGAGAACGCTATGTTTCCCTTACTGGATTGCTCACTGCCCTGTAAGGCTTGGCATTTTAGTTATTCCTTTTAGAGAATTCCTTTTAGGAATTTAGTTATTCYATGCTTCAAAATAGTGAATACCTTAGCCATCTTTTTTACAAATTTAACTAATACCCAAATATTCTTCCCTCATCAGTCCACTCAACATACAATTTTGACACCAAGATATAACACCGATTGAATGTTAAAAATTTTAATGCTGATCAACATTACAGTTTGGGAACTACAAATATTTTGTGTAGCTGTATTCATGGAAAGCGATTCTTATGAGAAAACAATTGGTAATCAATTAGTTACTGCATATTTTTTTTTGCATTTGGAGACCCTATTTACTCAGAAGATACGTGCAATAAGCTGCTTCTTTTTAAGACAACTTTACGGTTCTCTAAACCAGATATTTGGAAACAATGACAAATGACTTTGGTTATAAATCTGGCTCTTAACACACTTGTTATTTTCTGTTTTTCCTACGTGATTTCTATCATCTACCCGATGTTCATACCACTTATGTGTGATGAAATACTTGYTGTTATTCAGCAATAAAACATAAAAGAGATTGGCTTAAAAATATTTTAGTCCTCGTGTTCAACTCTTTAATGGTTCTGTATGCAGCACTACTCAGTTGGGTGGTGGTATTTAATTTAACTTTGTTCGTTGTTTTCAATTTTTTTTGTGCATGTATCTGTGTAAATACATATGGATACACCCAGCACATTCACGTGGGTCGAGTAAGAGGACCTTTTTCAGATGTGAATTATTTAAGCACATACACGAGTTAAAAACATTCAAATAATTTTCATTTATTTCCTTATTGAAACAATGCGTAAAATGCAAAAAGAAAGATCAACTGCACTTTGTACCTTTGCAGAACTTAATGATTCATTTTTAAAGTGGGAGGGTTTTTCCTGGAAAAAAGAAAAAAAAAAAAAAAAAAGGAAGACAAGCACACATGGTGGCAGGCATGGGCGCGTACTATAACTGAGGCTCTTTTTTTCTGATCCCTGCAGGAAGGTTGTTGTTGGTATAGCCATGTTTCGGAGTCATCACTTTGGTTAGGGCACAGGTCCCAAAGAAGGGACAGATCAATTTCTTTAAAATAGAAGCAGAGATGGGGAGTTATTCTCCTCTCTTTAAAAAAAAAGGAAAAGGTTATTTCCTAGCTGTTTGGCGGACAAATGGAGAGCGAGCCCCATCACAGAGATGTTACTCGGGGCAGGGCGGGTGGGACAAGTCAGACTCAATGATCATTGTGGCTCCCTTTTCAATTCAGAATTTTCTGTAATTTTGTGAAAGAGCTTTTCGTTTTGTCACCCGACGCTGCAGGCTGAGGGCAGGCGTTYGGCAGAGCGCGGCTGGCGCGGCGCGGTGCGGCGGGGCGGAGGAGCACCCCCTCACACATGATCCATCGCAGCCTCCGGTCTCCCTATCCCGCTTTCTGCCCCCGCCCTCCTGCCCGCAGGCTGCCCAACCCTGGCAGGGAGGGCCAGAGCTCCGGGAAGTCCCCTCCGAAACATGGCAGGGGACTGCCATGCCGCCGGGTTTCCACCAGCCTCTACCCACTCGGGAGAACTGTGTCAAAAGCGGCTTTGGGCTCAGAACTGGGAAGCTGCTGTAAGAGGATGGAAAGTTCTTGGTATGGAATTTTCACGGTGATTTCAGAGGTGGTGTAAATGCAGTTCATTCTTTAGATAAGGAGCCAGCCGTGCTTCCTGCTATGAAAAGCACACCGCAATTGTGTGYGAATGCTAGCATCTGAATAGTTTGACAAGGTATTTTTCAATTGTGGTGTCGTCTGCCAAACTTTTATATTTAATAAAAACACCTTCAGGTGTAAAGGCACGTAGAACRATAGAGTTTGCTATTGCACATTATGAGAAATTACTCTTGGAGAACACAGGCAGCATGTCCTTTAAATTCACCCAGGTATATTGCATCTAAGGGTTCAAAGATTTAAATCTTGTGTTCAAAGTCTTTGAAAGCTTCAGGGAAGTGAAAAACAAAAAGCATTTTAGAAAAGGAAGTAATCACCTAACCTTGCCTGGAACAAAGGTGTGAAATACATTACATCTACCTACACAGAAAATAAGCCTCATGTACTGTGAATCTCAGGAGGAAAATGGAAATGCTCAGGGCCCTTACAGAAGGAAGTGTGGATTTGAAGATAGAACAGGCAAACCAAAGTACCATGTGCCGTAGGGAACCTCTGAAGACATTTGTGTCTTTTAATAGAACAGGTAAACCAAAGTACCATGTGCTGTAGGGAACTTCTGAAGACATTTGTGTCTTCTCTGGGGCAATCACTCCCAGAGAAGAGATGATTTATCTCTTTTTTCTATCTATGTTTTCTTTTAAATCAGGTTTCAATCAATCCTAAACTGCCACTCTTTTTTCTATCTTTCTTTTTTTTTTTTTNCCCCTCCCCCCCAAACTCACAGGAAGAGGTAGAAGTACTTTAAATACTATATGAACAGAAGACAGAACTCTTTTTCTTTGTGGAAATGTCCCCAGAGGACAAATTTATCCACATTCCTGTGTCTTACTATGTACTGGTAAGTGTCTTTATGCTTTYGGTAGAAACATTTGCCAACGAAATGTTTCTGTTCTGGAGAAAGTCCAAGAAGACATAGAGAAATGACACGTGGTCCATCAGAGTTGAAAACCATGAATCTTGCAACTAGAGGCTTCAGGCTGACTCCTAGAAAGATGCACAGGTGACTGCTGCTCAATCCAGCATGGCTCTTGTTATTGAGTTCAGTTCAGGATTGATGGTGGGCTGTGAGAAGCCCTGTTTGCACCCACAGCTCCAGGCAAGTAAGGATTAAGGTTCTGGGCTCATGCTATTAGAATTACCCTACTTCCTACCACTGAACAACAGCTATCACTGCCGTTGATGTGGTCACTCCTTTCAGGAAGCAGCCTCCTACACATGATTTCTGAACAAAAACATCTTACTTGAGGAGTTGCACGGCAATCTAGAATATGAGAATTTGATCTCCTAGGTGGGGAAAGTGCCAGCATCAGCACCTTGTTTTCTCAGTGGTGCTTGTTGCTGACAGGTAAGAAAACAGGCATACCGAGAGCTGGGAGGAGGGTATCCAGAACAGGGGAGAAAAGACGGTGCAGTTCAAGAAACAGGTGCTTGGGGAAAGGGGAGAAAAAACATGGCTGCCTGTACCTGAAAAATGCACAAAATACCCCACTCCATGCCAACCTGGGTCAATGGCTTTGTCTGACTTCTTAAACAATGTTCATCCTTGCAGCTGACCCTGCATGTGGCTGATGAGCAGTGGCACCTAAAATCAGAGAGTGGACCCTGCTTGGTGGCAATCACGGGTGAGAGGGCATTCCTTGCCTATACAGAACAAGCACTTGAACACTGCTGGCTATGTTTTTTTTTTTACATCTGTTTCCTCTTTAGATGCTGAGCAGCCTAAGGGCCAGAGAAGAGAATGAGAGTCAATCCAAGGTACTAGTAACACCATGGCATGGAGAATTCATATAAAATAGGGATCTGATCCAAGGACAGAGATAATTCCCCTCTCTTCACATGCAATTAAGGGGAAAGAAACTCCTACCACTATTCCTACTGGCTTATTTTGCTGGCTTACCTTCAGGCAGATCCAAAAGAATGGTTTTAATATTTGACTCTGTTACAAAAACACAAAAAAAATTTATTACAGGACATTCTTACACAGTTAATTAAAGACCCCATACATGCTGCTTCCTATTAAGCACTAATTATTAAAAAACAGATTCTAAGGTCTAATTAAAAGACTATAGATCAAATGTCTTCCTTCTTGTGCTAGAGGAACCACACTGCAGGAAACCAAACAACTGGACAGTCCTAATTGTCCTCTAAAATATATTTCACTTACTACAGCCACTATTCTTAGTTCCAGCTGGGTCTCATCTGTAACACTCTGATGTTCAGACTGAAAACATACTTTCAAATATGCCTAATCACACAGATCTTTGCATCACAAATTACTTGAGCCAATTAATAGCAAAGGTGGTGGAGAAATTGACAATTATCTAAATAAACAATGGCAAACTTTTGCAAAAGTGTAATCAAATGTTAATTTCAGTTCTTTTGAACTGACTTGCTTCAGCCAGCACTGCAGTGACAGTAGGGAGAGGAAGCAGTGTTTAAGCCAGAATTTCTCTTAGAAGACTGATCTCGCCCAGTGCTGAGCACCCTGTGAATTAATTTCTCCTCTAACTGATACTCAGCTGGTCTCAATAGAAAAAATACTCTTGCTGGTTACCGTTCTGGGAACACCAACTGTCTCACATGTGTTTTGAATACTAATACAAAAACTCAATTCTGATGTCATATGCCACATGCACAGATTCTGAGAGATACTTTGATATTAGCCCAAAAGAGTGTGAAGTGTTAGATAAGTGAAAATGAGATATGAGTGGGCAATTTCATGTTAGTAAGACAGACTGATGTTAGGCTGCAAAGAATGATTTAGAGAAAACAGAAAAAGAAGAAAAGGAGCAAATCTAATGGCCTCCCTCATGGTCTAGTTTGTGCCATATTTGAACCCACAGTATTGCATTGGCAATTACACTGCTAAAATGCACACTGGAGGATGCCCTGAACAAAATAAAAGGAGATTTCATCCAAGATAAAATTACTTCAAAAGCTATGGATAGCTAGGCTAAGCAAAATACTGCATCCAAACAATCAGTGAAGGATGGGGCATCAGATAGCCAACTCTACACTGAAAGAGCAGGTGCTCATGATGTGAGTAAGTGTGGGCTAGAAATATAGACAAGGGTGGTTTGGGTCTGAATGGTGCCAAGTCCAATTCAAGAAGTCTCTTCAATCAAAGCAAAAGGAGTTCTGTTTCCTGGAACACCTGTGCCAAGATGAAGCAGAACTAATGAACATACTGAAGGGACAATTGGACAAAAGCTCCTCTGAGCTGGTGTATGCCTACTCTTGCATGTACTTGAATGTCACACTTACCCCACAGTGACATTTCTGCCTGTGTGGATCTGGACATTTAATATAGTTCCATCTCTGACATTTACTTTGGAGGCCAGCTGAAAATTCAGTAAGTAATCAGTTGGCTACTTGTTCTGTATTTCCTGGTCCTCACCCAATGCTGGCATGCCTCCTGCTTTGTGCTGTTTGCAAGCACTCAGTTCCACTCAATCTCCCCTCTGTGTGTGTGGGAAAGAAAATTAGGCTTTGAGCATTTATTTCTAACATACCCACTGTTTCCCATTTCTCTATGCCCCCAGGGCATATCTTGCAGAACCGCATGCGAGACTGACCTGTTCTATGGCAGTTCCTGCTACCTCTAGGGCTGTTCTCTTTGCCCTAAAGTCGTGAAAGCATTCAGACCATACAAATCAGTAAGTTTAGGACAATTCCCTGGAGAATGAGAAGCAGAAAAGTGAAAAACTTAAGGTAGTATTTCATTAGGTAATCCTTTATTAGGCTTTCCATAGTTCTAATCAATTTTGTATGACATGTAATTTACCCATATCCAATCTAAATACACCCCCTTTGAGTTTTAAACTCTTTGTCCTGTT